AGTTTATTAGATGCGGATCATTCAGGAACAATTGATATTGGTGAATTGGCTATATTTATGCCTGTTATTATGCCTAATGCTAGTCCTTACATGCTTCTTCATCATATTCAAAAAGCTGATAAAAATTGTGATTATAAGCTTAATTTACAAGAATTTACTTTACTCATTAATCAGGGTATTGGTCGAGATATAGCACTTGGACGTTTATAATCAAATAAGAAACATTTCCAAAAAAGAACATCGTCTTTCTTAAAATGATTATGTTGAATGATCCGTTGTAATTTTCATTGATTTTTTAATAAAATAAAATTTTTAAGATTTCTCGTCCTCACCAGAAATAAAATGCTGTCTATAAATGCAATGAGATTTGGAAAATATATTATGGTAAAATTTTCATTTCGATTGATCAAGATTTTCTAGAGATACAAACTGAACGAGAATGTGAATATCAACTAAGAAAAGATTCATTCATACATAACCGCTAAATTGACTAATCAAAACAAAGAATAGTCTCCATAATTTAGTAAAGAAAAGGGTGTGGGTGTGAGTGAAGAAAATATGCGCACACTCACATCCTTGAATTCATCAACTTATTGAGTTTTATACAAAAACAAAAGAAGTGTACAGTTAAATGTTGTACAACGAACTGATGATACAACGGCCTCTGAGAATAAGTAAATGGAAAATTCAAGATTAAAAAAACGCTATTTAGAGTCTATCTTGAACCTGCTCGTTCAGCTCCATCTAATCGATAAATCGAACGTGAAGTATACATGATCTTGATTAACATTTGTCATCATCTAATACCAATAGTCCATCAATATCAGCTTCAATTCCAATAAAATCTCAACAACAAAAATCATTATCATTCTTTGATTATTCATCAATATTATTATCTAATCGATTGAATTCAAATGAATAATCTAATGAAATAACGAAATTAACACCATTATAACCAACTATATTAGTTTTTCATTAGCTGCTTCATTGAAAAAATCATGAATAGCAGATCATGATGTAAGTATTTGTATGTAAAGCATGTTCACAACAAATGGCAATAATCAAAGAACTACTTGGATGTACATGCAAAGATTGTCATTAGCATATATCAAATACTCTAGTCTCAACAACAAATTCTCGGCGAGAAACAAAGACAATTCATGAAAAAAAATCTGAAAGTCTTCATTTTTATGATTTATTTCTATTTTAGTTTTGATGAGAATTAAGAGATATGTATAGTAATAAATATAACCTTTGATTATTCATTCTGATAAATAATTCATCGAGAATGTGAGTATAGGTAAATGAAATAGAATATTCATACTCTCACTCACCCACCCTCATCTCTTCTCACCCACGCCTACACTACCAGACATCCGATTGAAATAGTGAGAATTTTATTTGACGCTTTCTAAGCATGGGTGTTTTTGCAATACAAATTCTTACATTAACTTTAATATTTTAAGGAACAACATACTGCAGTTTTTTCAGGCGATTATAATAGCTACAACTCCATGTTCCAGCAAAATTTGTTGGTTTTTTTACCAGTCTGAAGCAGTAAACTAATGTGCAAACAACAGCTTCTGAAGAGACACTGAGCAAAAATACATGCGCTCGTCGCTTTTTTTTCTGAAGAACGCGTAAAAGCACAACATGCAATCACAGTCATACATTATGCTTGCTACTGAAAGGTAAGAAAGAATTTGACTTATGAAGCAAAACAACACATCGATTTTTTTTCTAACTACGACGCTTTTTCACAAATCCTCGATAAGTTATGCTATTAGACTGTAGTGATAGGTATTTAGTCAAATCATCTGTGTCAATGCCATAGTTTGAAAATATATCTACAAAACCTTGATACTGAAAGTAGATATATATCTAAGTACCACTTGGCGGACTTTTTTGCATGTGAGAGTGTTCATGTTAAAACGAAGATAGGAAGACATTGACTTTGCTCAGGAAATCAGTGTCGGGTAAGATAACTAGCAAAGATTTTTAAGATCTAAGCTCTCGTTTTTACTGATGTTTACACTAACAAACACAATTATATCCCGACTCGCGTCAAATCCCTCGAATTTAGTGTATGAGGATGTGGGTGCGAGTGTTCTTCTATTATTCTCACAATCACACGAAGCGACCCTCATCCACACCCTCGAGATAAGGTACTAAGCATGGAAGTGAAGGTCTATATATAGGAATAAGAAATTATATGTAAAACACCTACGCTTGTGAGATTAGCAGAGTGAAACTTCGATCAAGTCAGCGGAGATAGACTAAATATTGTTGCGCAGACTACTGCAGAGTCAGCTAGAACCATTTTCTGAAGCAGAAAAAAAGGAGTTCGAAAAAGAGCCGTATTTTATTCGATAGAAGGGATTCTGACTATGGTAGTGAAATCTTGCATCTTTCATGATTCAGTCTAACATCATGTTCTGCATAGTATGCTGTTACAGGGAGTGTGCTCGTCTAGAGTTTTAGCGGATGGATGAAATATTGACAATATATCACACCCATACTCTCGTTGCTTCTTATTATTTTTCCAAAAAATCCTCTTTTCAATCAAGAAATTAAACATTTACTTGTCAAGTCGTAGCATCTCAGGCTATCTCCTCAATTTTTACAGAGATATTAAAGATCAAATATAGGCTTTGGAAAAAAGTCATTCTCATTAGAGAGGTATACACGCTGGTTATGTATAAATCCCTGAGCAAGATATGAACTTCTTTGGAAGAGTACTTTACAAAATACTTCTTCAGTTGTATAAACTATCTTTTTCTAGGATTTAAAAGGCTTTAAGAAGTCTTTTACGTTCTCGCTAACAGAATACTTATAGTCAACATGGTTAAAGTATGGTTTCAGCGCGACCAAAACGTTCCAT